TTATTAAATCTAGATATTATCTAAAGTAAAAACTTAGCTATGATATAGCATAGAAATCAAACAGAATTAAAAGTTTAGTTAAGCAATTTATAACAAAGCTAACAAAAAGATATAATGATACAAAGTAAGCATATTAAAGAAAGAACAATATAGCTGAAAACTCAAAATATAACTAGAAAAAGCTATAGCAGAAGATCAAAAAGCAGAGAAGAATAAATTGTTTGTTAATAAAAGATAGCAAAAATTTTATTATACAGATTAAGTGCTTGTTAAATAGTCTTCTAATATTTAGTAAGCTCAAGAATTTCTATATAAAAGCAATCACTATTGTCTTATGCAAAAAAGAGATCTCAGAAGATCTTAACTACTTGATAAGTTGCTTAGTACTATAAGATTCTTAGAAGAAAATTAAAAAAGCAATAATAGAAAGTATTAGCAAAATTCAACTTAAGAAAGATAATAGCTCTGACTTGATACTAAGAATTAAAGTAATTATCTTTTCAAAAGATAAAAAAAGCTATTTCTAAAGAAAAAAGAAGCTAATAATTAGACTTGAAAGAAAGAAAATAGTTAAAGATATTCAATTATTAGTTTAGAAAAAAAGATATTATGAAAACATAAATAGATAGTATTTTTTTTATCATCCAAAAAAGCTTTGAAAAGATTATATAGAACTGGTGATATAAAAAGGTAATCTTTTGGAAAAAAAGTAAAGGAATTATAACAAAGCTAAAAAAAAACAAAGTAGAAGAAAAAGCATCAAGAGTAAGAACCTAAGTAGATAAAAGAAAGAAAGTATTACTTGCAGAAAGGAAAAGAAAAAAAAAAAGAAAAAAGAAATAGATAATAGTATTAGTAGAAAGAGTTATTAAAAAAGAAATTAAGAAAGAAAAGATAAGTTGGTAGAATTTTCTTTAATACAGTTAGACAAATTGTCTTAACCTTTTAGTTAGTATAATAGGTTGTATCTGAATACTCTAATAGTAGCTAGATGATATCAAACTTAGTAAGTTAAGTAGATTGTATAATCATATAACTTGGCTAAAGCCTTAGTTAATAACTTAATAAAATTTATAACATGACTATCAAAGAAAAAAAAAAAAATAAGAAAATAAAAGTATCTAAGATTATAAATCAATTACAATTAGAAAAATATATTTTTATTTTAACAAAATTAACTCTCTTCTCTCCTTTAATTTTAATAGTTATATTAATAAAAATTAAAATCTCATACCTATACTTGTTGACAAAATCCCAAACTATTATAAAATTAGTTTGTCTATGTCTAAATTCCAAACTTTGGCCAAATTCATATCTCAAAAATTTTATTAATAATCCTTATTCAAACAAATATTATATATTCTTATAGTTATATATAATATATTAGCAAAATTTTAGAACTATTTTTTTGATTCAATTTTTTATAAATAACAATTGTTCTTTTGAATTTGTCTAGATTTTGCTATTTTGCTAGCAAGTATACTCATACCTAAAAACAATGCACCTAGTCTGCAGATATTTCATATTGTTAAATGCATCGATTTTTATTTCAATTTTTAATTTTAATTTTAATTTTGTTACTTAGAATTTTTAGAGCATGTGCGTTGTGACGCTCCCCATAAGTTCTGGTGTAACGTGACGTGAGATCAAAACAATAATTAATTCGTTAGTTATTTTCAATTAAACTTTCGAATTCAATAAAATAAAATATTTTACAAAATGACGAATGAAATTTCACATTTAAAGCCGTGCGCGTCAAATAAATTTAATTATTTAATTAAACTTAGGGTAAAGGATTAGTCCAGGGTTAGGACTTTTAGGTAAAATTTTTTTCCCGACATTTTTTATTAGTGCTTCGAAATAGGTTTAAGCCACTTGTTTCTTTATTTTTGTGGGGTTACTTTTTTTTTCTTCGGTTTTTGTCTCGTCAGGACGAGTTAATAAAAATCATGAACTTATTGGCTTTTGGTCACATGTTGCACACGACCTCCTTTTAACCGGAAAAATATATTACGTACACCCATTTTCTGACCCCCCGTTGGCAAATTTTAATTCAGATACGTCCAATACTATATTACCTATTATTGTTACTTATTTTTAATTCAGCAAATAGAAAACAATTTGTATACGTAGATATTAATAATGTGGCTTAAATGAAACCATTTGCCTATTATGGGATAATTGCTAGACTTACGGAATTAGCGTTAAAACTCCGATTCCAGAAAAAGTAAATCTGAAGCAGCTTTTTTTTTTTTTTTGGTACATACAGATACGTACGTATGTACCAGTACATAACAAGATTTTCTGATATTGCTACGTAAAGTTGGTGATGCAGTTATAATTTTTAGTGGTGCACCACTGGTGACTACCAAAGCTTCATATGTATGTTTATTTTACTTTCAGTGATATAAAATTTCACCTACTACACATACGTAATTATAAATTGCACAATTTTTTAGACAGAGTAATTAGTCAAATTTGTCAAGTGCGGGTTCTAACGCTAAGGGGATTGATAGTAATGAATTTAGGCTCCAAATAGGGACAATACAAATTATATGACGTTAAAATTAAGGCGTGAGGATTTTAATAAAACTGCAGAATAAACTTAATATTAATTGGTTAGTTTGTAATCGAAAACTGAAATTCGTGAAGGGGGTTAATGTTTTGTAATTAACTTGTTTAATTTTGGGATGGGACGTTAAACGAATTTTCAAATTCTATAGCACTTATGGTTAGTATACTGTATGTTATAGCTTTTTATAAGAAAAAAAAAAGATTGATGAATGAACTGAAAACATCTCTATTTGTGATAAAAACATGCAAACTCTTAATGTGAAAATCATTGATGCTATACCCATTTAATCATGCATTCGAAAGTTCTCATTAGAAGGTACGTATTATTAGAAATTTGATGCGTGTACTACTAGTTTATGCAATTACGTAACACTACGTAATTTCGGTAAATGCCAATTTTAAACGTTAAAATAGTCAAGTACTGACAAACATAAGAAATTACCGTTACATAATAATTTACCGTTACGGTAATGAAATTTTAAAATATAATTTTGTAACACAAACCTAACTACGGGTTTAAGATCGATTTATTTGGTATTTTAAGTTCTGATAAAGCCAACCAGAATTATGTTAATGTTGGCTTAACTTGTCTGGAATCTTATTTTTTAATAGATTGCAAACTTTTTAAGCGTGAAATTTTATTATGCTTAATTGATTGTAAGATGACACAACTGTATCGTTAATACGTACGATTTTTTTTTTTCACTTAATAAATAAGTTACTGTATAATACATGAATGTAAATAAATAAATAAATCTATAAACAGATGAATATTTTTTAGCATTTTTTTTTTTTTTTTTTTTTTAGAGATGAAAAGTTAAATCTATTATGAGGCACAATGTTCATTTAATTTTGGTTGTCTTCGATTTTTCCACCATGATACAATTTTTTTACGTTTCCAGTATAAAATGGAAATACCAATAAGTAATAATAGGCATAAGATAACAATAGCAATAATGACAAGACTGCTGATCTTTGGTTTTGGTCTACCAGGAGGAACATTAACATAATAAGGATCAGAATGAGAATTTATCGTTTGATATGCCATTAAACCTTGAAATGCAGCATTATAATCCAATGCAACCTTAAAAAAAAAAAAATGATAATTGAAAAAGTTAATATTTAATTAATTTTATTTGAATATAAGTTAAAATAATAAATTATTACCTCAGATTGAATATAATCCCTTCTTGAATCACTATATTGATCATTCTGATCTGGACCACCTACAATTCCACCATATAAAATATGTTGAGTTTGAGGAGGATTATTCAAATTATTTACATCAATTCCACCAGAAGCACCAGCATGATGAGGATTCTGTGGTGAGTTTGGATGAACACCAATGACGTATGGTACGTTTATAGGATTTTTACCAAGAACGTAATCAATTTGTGACATAGCGAAATTAATATATGCTTGAGATTTAGCAGATGAAGTAGCAATCGGAGCATAAATTAAACATAGGAAAGCAATATTGATAGCTGGGTTTAAAGAATCTTGATTACTATCCCCATAACACCAAAGAAGACCACCATTAGTTAATGAACAAGCATCAGATTGATTTAAAAAACTATCCAAATATTTTTCGGCCAAAGATTTCCACTTGCTTGAATCTTGACCAGATTGTTGAAATAATTGAGCAAACAACACATAACATCCACCAGATTTTTCATCCCAATTAAAAACTAATTTTTTAACAATTGAATTAGTATTATAATAATCAACAGCTTTGTTAAGATAACTATTATCATTTGTTGCACGATATAACCAAAGAGCACCCCAGACTAATTCGTCAGCATAATCAGACGAACTATAAGCATCAGCGACTTGGGGAGCAGAAATTGAATATTTTGTGAAAGGAGTCGTTTCGGCAAAGGAATATAAATTTTTCGCATAAGTTAAAAGTTTATCAGCGTATACGGAATCATTAAATTGATTTAAATAAAGTAAAGATGATGCAGCCAATGCAGCAGCAGCAGCGCCTGAAACATCTGTACCATGAGCAGTAGAGTTAACATTTGTAGATGGACGTGGAGTAGGAATACTATATATATAATATAGATTAAATTGATTATTGATATGATTTAAAAATTATGAAAATTTTAAAGTAATCGAATATTAAAATATATATAATACTTTGTATCAGGTCCCCAATAATTATGATCTTTATTAAGGTTACCGACCATCACGTATAGATTACCAGTACTGTTCGTAGTATTTGAACTTGCTTTTATTAACCAATCAGTACCCCATCTTATCATATCATTTAAATATTGGGTTTGATTTGATAATTGATAACCATTACCCCATTCTAAAGCTCCCCAAGAAATAGTTGTAATAGTCCATGAGAAAGGAAAAGTAAATTTTAAATAGTCGCCTGATAAAATATAATATAAGATAAATCTAATATAATACATTATATGCGTAATTGATTATTAACTTTGATTACCTGCATCATAATAACCCTTTATAATAATTATAATTGCATGAATAAAAAATAAAATAAAAAAAGATTAGCTATTAAATCAACGAACTTCCATAAAGTGTATATTTTAAAATTAATATATCGAAATTGAGATCGAGTATGAACACTTAATGGAAGATAAAATAAATAAATAAATAGGAGATCAGTGTAATAAGAAATTTAAGATACAAACCCCACTTAAATCAAGGCCAACGTCTTGACCATCGTTTAAAGCTGAATCATGTCTCCTAAAAAATTATATTAACGTAAATACTTTTTTAAACAATTGATCGAATATATGTAATTGAAAGAAAACTTACCATGATACTCTGTTATTATTAGGTAATTTTCCACTTCTCTGTGCTTCATAAAAATATAAAGAGTAAGATACTAGCCTCGCATATTCTGCGTTGGGATAATTATTGTTACTTGGTTGTTGTGGTATCCCAGGAATATCAGGAGGTGGTAACGCGTAATTTGTTGCTTTAACTCTAGTTAATGAAGTTAAAAGCAGAAGACTTGAGGTTAAGAGGGTCTGCGTAGCACCTCCTTGACAATCATGTTTGTAAAAATTCATTTAGGATATGTAGGAGTTTGAGTTACATTTTTGAAGTATTTATTTGTTTTTGAAATATTGAAGGTGACGTAATTAACGGAATAAATAACGGAATGGATAAAAAGTTTTAACGTTATAATGCACAAAATCTGATACAATAAATTGTTTGAAGAGTTCAAAATCTAATTTTAGAAAGGGATCTATCCTTATATACGATATCATACGAAACGTTTGTAATACAAATGTCGATTATAACCGAAATTACATTTAAAAGTAGCATGTATAAATAACTGCCGAGCGAAAAAAAAAAAGAAGGAATTATGTATCAATTCAGCTCCGACAAATGAGATTTTGATGTTTTCATAAAATTGCATAGAATGATTAAAATAATTTAAAGACAGAATAAATATATAAATGGGGTCTTTGCCTTGAAAATCAAGTTATGGGACATATAATTTACTATGTCCCATAACTTGATTTTCAAGGCAAAGACCCCAAATGACTTTTAAATTATTAAGAATGACGCCATGGTTTATATGATTGATTCAATTAATGACAGATTCTTTTTGATGTAAGATTTCTCTAACGATTTTTTTAAGAAAACTCTTAAATGATTGAATTCAATACTTTTAAATACTTTTAAATATTTTTATAATACGTCTTCATAATATTTTTTAATAGGATTTTTAATAATACTTCTTCAATTATACTTTTATTATATTACGAATTAACAAAAGCATATTAAACAATACTTAGAAAATCGAACTTAATAAAAACTATTGAAATTTTGTTCTCACGAGGACTACTTTTTAAAAAGTAATGATTTAAATTTATATACCGGTAAAAAAAAAAAAAAAAAAAGTTCTCATAATAAATTATTATGTTCTTACAAAATGATTAAATATAAAAGAACTTTTTTTTTTTTTTATTAAAAAAAAAAAAAAAAGGAGAAACATAAGATTACAAACATTGGGTACAAGACCATTGTTATGCGAATCTTTTCAATATTGCAGATTTAAAACATTTGATTAGTAACTTACTGTTGTGAACTGGTAATGTGTTCACCAACATTCATATTTTACAGACATCCTATGCATTCATATTCAAGCTTATTTTGTAAATAACTTATTTCACAGAATTAGGGTTAACGTTAAGGTTTGATCGTTAGATTTAGGGTTAGATAAATTTATAAGGAATAAACTTGTTTATAAAATACGCTGTCTATAAATTGGATTTCTGTAAAAATAAAGCCTGTTGTGGATTAATTGTCTGTCTTTGAAGTGATTATTGGTGAAATGATACGGAACCGTAACAAATAATGGTTACGATCAATTTTCCCCCCGAAAGACCATTTACTTGACATCACATAGGTGATAATTTACTAATAATATATGCCTAAGGAAAATGACTTCGGGAAAGTTAGCAATAACTTGATAAGTAGTCAACTTTTCTGAAATTATAAAATTGTTATTGTATAACATGAATCATTAAATTATTTATAATTAATATTAACACATAATAATAATCTTCAATATTTATTAAACAGCTAGAATTCTACATTGTGAACCCATTTTCATAAAAAAAAAAAACAACTTACAACCAGTCGTTGCCATTAAAAATTTACCTATTTTTACGTTTATCTCTTAACATTCAGTTAATTAATATCATGGTCGTATTATTTTTATATTTAAAATAATCATTGTATAAGTGCTATTTATGAGGAGATACTCAAAGTTTTTGCTTTGTTGATTTAATACTTTCACATGTGTGGACTTTTTATCAATTTAAACTGCTTTCTGTTTCGAAGGAGATCATAATAATGACTACTGTAAAAAATAAAAATAAAAATAAAATAAATAAATAAATAAATAAAAAATAAATAAAAAAACCAAGTAACTAAATCCATTTGCTTCTTCAATTGATTATTTCTAATTTTATGATATACAAATTTTCATAAATTTAAGATATAAAATTATTAAAGTATCTTTAAGAACAATACCGTTTGGAATCTAGATGACGTATTAACAGTTAAAATAAATAATATGAATGGTTTACACTTGATTGGACAAAATAAAAGATGCGAGATAATCTGGTTAACATTTTTTTTTTTTTTTTTTTAAACTCAAAATGATTTCTTCGTTTCGACTCTTGACACTCAGAGTTCTAGATAATTTTAAACCACGAAAGCGCTTTTTCTCTTTAAATGTTCCTGTGGCATCTGTAAATTCAGATCTGTTTCCATTTTTGATAATGATAAAGCAAATATATGATGAACATAAAACAGAGATAAAGCAAATATATGATGAACATAAAACAGAGATGAAGAAATTAGGTTATTTGCATAAAGCTGATATAAATATATTATATGATATATATACAACTGATATGAAGAAATTATCAGATAAGTATAAAGAAAAGATTATACAAAAATCAGATGAGTATAAAGAAGAGATGATACAAAAATTAGGTGCAAAGGATGAAGAGATGATACAAGAATTAAATGCAAAGGATATAGAACATAAAGAAGAGTTACTTAAATTATTAGTGAAACAAAAGGATGATGAAGCCGAATTAGTTGCACGTTCAACAGAACTATTTAAACTTCGAGGAATCTGTAATATTAGATCAGCTTTAGATTTTATTCAAAGTCGTGTAAGTTTTTATGTGTCAAACTTTTTGCTTTTTTACATTTTATTTATTATATTTCCTATAATAGATTTATAAGAAAGGCGGAGATCCTCTCGGGTCACGTGGAACCGATGATTATTTGGTAGAGAATTTGAATTTTAAAGATCTACGATTTAAAAAATGCCTAGAAGAGACGTGTGAAATGAATAATGTTAATGTAGAAGCCGTGAAAAAATGTATTGGTGGCCTATATCACAACTCATCAAAAGAACTTGATGGCTATGGCAAAATTGTGATTTATGCAAAGGATTGGGCGGTAAATGAGATAATTGCCTTGGGTCTCATTTTCAAATATTTTCGTGTTCCTTTCGAATATTGGAATGAGAATGAACAAGTGACGAAATTTCCATACAAGTTATCATTAGGATACGGATACTAAAGTTATCCAACTGTTTTAATTTTGCACGCAAAAAAAATCACATAACGTCACTTCGAACACTTTTGCTATGTATAATGAAAATTCTTTTACTTTATTAATTAATAAAGTTTTAATCATCTTGAAATAAAAACTATGATATTATTTACTATTAATCTGGATATAAAATTGCGAATAATAATAATGTATAGAAAGCAACATATGAGACTACGATATTATTTTCAGATTCGAGTACTATAAGTTTAGAGATTATGCTGGCATCATAAGTTATAATTGAATTCGTTTAATTTTATTATTTACCCAATGTTGTGAAATAAATTTTATATTTTCATTAACTTTCGTTACGATCAAAGGAAGTGTTTTATGCATACACATATTTATATGTTATTACAAATTTCGAAGTACGTAGGTCTTATTGGGATGACCGACCTGTATAGGAGAAGTCACGTGGCACGTGACTTCGGTTACTCCAATTAGGGTAACCCGGGTTACGCGCGTGATCAGCGCGTGATGCGCGGGATAGGATTACATCGTGAGTTTCTTAAAATTATGTTAATGCGGGCCGGCTGGCCTGAATTGG